TTCTCAAATACTATCAATTTTACAAAAAAAAAAAAACTATATGAGACAAAAATTGTTTATTTCCTTCTCATAGAACTCTAAGAATTTTTTATCAACTTTTTAGTACTGCATTTTCTTATTTTTATTATCATGAGAAAATATGGTATTAAAAAATTCTGAAAAAATTCTCAGAACTTTATGAAAAGAAAATAAACAATTTTTGTCATTTATTGTTCTTTTGTAAAGTTGATAGTACTTGAGTAAAAAATTATTGAAAACCAATATTCGCGGCGATTTTTAGTAATTAATATCTTGTTAACTATTGCGACAATTGTAAAATGGTAGAGGACTTTTCAACTTAGTTTAGTTCGCTGTACCAGCACAGGAAATATTTCGCAATCATTCTGGGACATCCTGTATAAATCACCTACCAAATTCTGCAGTTCTTTGTACATCAAAAGTTTCGCCATCTTTAAATAATGAAAATATAACATGTTTAGAAAATGCTAAAATTCCATTATCTGTAATATTTCCGGGTTCACAAAACGCTTTCTTCAGCTTCTTCTTTACTGTCACAGGATTGTCCAATAAATCAATCTTGGAATCTTCCTCAGACGAAGACATTTTAGCACCAGCCAAGCCAGGAACTGAACAAAAGGCAAATATGAAAAAGTTATATATAATAATTGCATTATATTCAAATGCAATAAAACACTAAAGATTTGATTCATTTTACTGCACAATACTAACTCATCGGATTCATCAGATGGATATGTTTTTCATAACCTAGCATTGGTAAATATTTCTCTGAGAAGGTGAAGATCTTTCTTTGATCGACTCCACCAAATTGTGCATCTACCTTTAAGTGATACTCATCGAGTGCTTGTAGACCCGGATAAAGAAGACCCGATAATAATGGATTAGAAACTTGCTTAACGACTTCAGCACCTGCTTTCTTCGCATCATGTTCTGTCACCAACGAGCTCAAACGATATACGTCTAATGTGTATTCCCTCGACAAAAATGTTAATTGTAATAGCATTAATAAATATGTCGCCACGTTGATAGAAAGTGACATACCTTAAAATTACTTTCCAACATAACTTTTTTAAAATTCGAAATTGGAACAACGTAATTAGAAAATGCGTAACTTTACTTTTTGTTATGCTTTCAATTATATGTATTCAATTATATGCATTCAATTATATGCATTCTTTGAAACGATGTCATAAATTCATAATTTTCACAATTTGAACAGTGCAATCCTAATGCTAATTTCTGATTTGTATCACTTTTCTATCAACTCAACTATATATCAGAAAAATGGAGTATACAATTCAAGATACAAGATGAAAAGAATTTGTTTAATACCTACTTGGACAATTGATAATCTGTTCCTTTAACAAATTTTAATTTATCTAATGGTACATCGATTGACTTCAACATTGATTTGATTATAGCCTCATAATATTGAGTACGAAGGTCTAGAAGCTCCCACGGTGCTTTCATATTATCTAAATACGCATGAAGGTCTGCAAAGAGAATTGTCACCTCAGTTTGAGCCCGTAAGAAATCAGCAATCTTGGACATAGGGACGAAATAGCCAATATGAGGCTTTCCTGTTGTAGCTGTACCCCAATACAATTTCAAATCACGTTCCTTTAAGATATTCTTAAGTTTCTCATCTCCCAGCCATTCTGCTAGATTTCTGGTAATAAGCTTATATTTGTCGATCCATGTCAAAGCCATTATTGCTCTTTCTTGTGTAGCAAACTATTTTTTGTAATTACCTAAATAAATCATAATAGAAATTCTATATAAAAAGTTACACAGCGAAAATGACCTTATAGATTAACCAAGTAGCACACAGCGCCGTTGACAAAGCGCTAAAAAAGCGCATATAATCACTTTTTTAACGCGCTTAGCAAACGCTGCTGTGCTACTTGGGTATAGAGTCTACTCAACATAAATAATGTTCCTTCAATAAATAAGTGATAATTTTTTATAGTTTCTGAGATATTATATAAAGATAATAGCTAAAACTAAAATTAAGTTTGTCTTGAACGTTATTTTCTTATAGCATACACAGTATTATATATATAAAAATAGTGAAAAATAAGAAGAGTTTACGTTTCTTTGTTATGTTTGCTACTCATAGTACACATTTTATCTATCACATTATCAATGCAGCTGTTGACTACTAAATGGAAAACAGATGTAGTTATATGAATTTTTTGTTGTCAAATTAAATTATTAATTTATAAAAAAAGTGCTTAGATGGAGAAAGGTAGAGTCATGCATTCAATTGATATGCAACGTGATATTTATACAAACATACTAGGTAAAATTCAAATTATGAAGTTGAGCATACATATCTACATATTATCATTGGTTATTAATAACTGTAATAAACAATGATCACTGGCTAAAACCTTTTGATTGTTATTCAGAAAAATGATATTGATAATATATGTCACGGTAAGATTATCTTTGACTCCTTGAACTTTGATTCCTAATGTACAGATTTTTTATCAAAATTATTAAACTTAACTTTAAAGGCCTCTTTTACTAACTTCGATTAACACTAATTGATGGTTAACTCATTCATCACGATTGTCAAAGTGAGAACTATATATGAGTAGTTTATCTTAGAAGAAAAAGAGGAAGAAAGGCATTTCTGCAAGTTGAGCGTCAATTAATTTAATCAGAAGTTGGTGAAAGAAGTATCCTAAGTATCTTAGAAACTATGATATACCACCACCTTTGTATACAAAGTTTCATCTAAATATTCCAAATAATCCGAGTGATTCTTAAAATTTTTGCAAAAAAAAGAAAAAACGAAATTTTTCCTTTAAGTTAGACACCTATCTTTCAAACAATTAAAACTAAGGCTGTTTCGAATATTAGGTCATATGAAATTTTCGTCTCGAATTTATGTGAACAATCACCTTAAAATCTTTTAAAATATAAGCCTAACTTTATTGATTTTTGAGGTGACTACATAATTACCAATTACCGTAACTTTAAATTTAAAATTCATTTAAAAATATTCATCTTATTAATGTGGCAAAATCAATCCTCTTTATTAATATACTTACCAGATACCGAACTCAACTGAAAACTGAACTGAACTGCATCTGCATGGTGTAATAAGAAAGGTGAACCATTCCCGGGTGGATACGCAGTGGACTGAAAGAAGCGCGGCAGGGGGGGGGTTATGTCAGCCAATCCAGAGTTTAAATTCCTAAATGCTTTTGCGGACATCCGGTGCGGATTACGGATTGCGGACTGTACAGCAATATGCTGGATTCACCCTGTATCCGATTTTCGTCG